CCTCCTCCTCCTCCCTCCACCTCCTCCTCTTCCTCTTCCTCCGCCTCCTCCTCCTTCTCCTCCTCCTTTTCGTCGTCGTCGTCGTCCTCCTCCTCCTTCTCCTCCTCATCCTCCTCTTCCGTTTCCCCCTCCTCCTCCGCCGTCGTCTTCCTTTTTCCTCTTCTTCCTCTTGCTTTCCTCTCATATTCCTCCATTCCCCGAGGCCCAGACGCTCCTCCTACTCGTTGTCGCTTCTCGTTGTCTTCTTCTTGTTATAATGATAAATCTTCTTCGTGCTCCTCCTCCTCCTCCTTTCCTCCTCCTCGTCGTCCTTCACCTCCTCCTCCTCTTCCTCCTCCTCTTCCCTCCTCCTCCTCCTTCTCCTCCTCCTCCTCTTCCTCCTCTTCCTCCTCCTCCCTCGCCTTCCTCCTTCCTCATCATCCTGTTGCTTCCCCCTCTTTCTCCTTCTCTCCCCGATGTCCAGGAGCTCCTCCCTCTCGTTCTCGCTTCTCTTCTTCTTTTTCCTCCTCCTCGTTCTCCTCCTCCTCCTCTTCCTCCGCGTCTTCCTGCTCCTCCTCTTCCTCCTCCTCCTTTTCCTCCTCATCCTCCCCCCCCTCCCACTCCTCTTCCTGTCAAGCAATTTGGGCTGGAACACCAAATCCCTCGCCCCCGTGCGCAGGGCAACGTGCTCAGTCCGATTTCGGTACCTCCCCGCGGTGTTTTGGGCGCGCCATTTTCCTTGGGCATTCGAAGTGCCCGCTTCTTGTTCGAGACATAGTGGTGACAGAATCCGAGGGGTCCAGCGTCCATGTCCAAGGCGCCCTGGTCTACCGGCCGAGCATGCGGGCAATTCGTGCGTAATGGCAAGCTCGAGCAGTGAGGTCGTAAATGCAATCGATGTGGACGCAACGTGAAGCTTTTCGTGCCGAGACCGTTCAATAACGACGGTGAGAAGTCAGGGCAAGGGCATTTTCAAGAGCGTCAGCTTCGCCGAGGGTAATGCTTGTGTAGCTAGCAACCAGTCCACGCCCCGTGACTCGCAAGCAGCAAAGGGTACCCGTGGACAAGGCGATGCGCCTGTTCGTTCCCTTCTCGAGCAGTCGGTGGCCAACGCGCAGGACCCCCAGGTGAAGGAGACCCTGACTTTGCAGGTCACCAAGCTCAAGGATGCGGAGGCGAAACAGCAGCCGCCCCACGATGTGCTTCAATCTCTCCAGCGTGCAGGTAGTGCCTGGCGGGATGTCAAAAACCGCCACACGCAGGCGGTCCAGTCAGTCCTTCGCATCCGCAAGCAGTTGGAGGCAGCAGAGCTCAAGGAGGGCCGCTTGGCCGCCGAGCTTGCGGAGGAGACGGTCGTCAAGCAGCAGGCAGCTCGTGCCATGGCGTCGGTCGAGGGTGTGAAGACGAAGTCGGAGCCCAAGAGTGAGGACAAGCCGTCGAAGCGTTTCGAACTGGTGTACGACAAAACTATATTTGAAAACCTGGATGATTTGGAATGTGAACAGTCGGAGAAAGGAGACGTTGCGCAAAATCCACGCAGAGCTGCAGACGGCCCAGACCAACCTTGACTCCAAGGCTGGCGAGGTCACGGTGATGTTCCAGAACGTGAAGCAGGTTCGCACGGCCATGTACGAGCGGCTGCCCAAGAAGAGGAAGGGCGTCGACGGGACGTCGACCGCGAAGCCGCCGCCAGCGCCTGCCGAGGGAGGCTCCCCTTCGCAGCCAGGCGCCGCAGCGGTGGCCAGGCCGCGGGCGCAGGCGCTGCAGAAGCGGAGTCTCGTGCCGATCGTGTTCGTGACGAGGCCGCCAAGCTGCCGGCAGCCAAGTTCGAGGCCCAATAGCATCTTCAGCAGTCACCGAAGGCAGATGGTGCCTCGAGTTGATTAGATGTGGCTCAGGACTCGGCGGGCGAGAGTGAGTACACGCAGCTTCTATTCGGCAGCGCCGCTGCCATGGTGGAGAAGATGTGGAGCTTCATTCGTAGGGCCCGCGCAAAGGATAGCCACCATATTTTTTGCTTTGCTGAGACTCATGTCTCTCGTACTTCCTTGCGTGAATGGACGAAGAAGTCCCGCCAGTCTTGCTTAAGGTTGATAGCCAACCCAGCCAGGGCCACTGACAAGTCGACGACCGCATGGGGTTTTGATCAGGCTACCGAGGGTGGCGAGTGGATTCTGGCGCCTGGCCATTTTCAGGTGCATTCCCTCGCTCCCCAGCTGTTGATTCCAGAGTAGCAACTTGGCGGCCAGCTGGCCACCGATGGCTTCACGGCGGCGGCTGCTCGTTTCTCGGGCTATACGGCCGTGATAATAACTTTCTGAGGGTTCACATCCGTCGGACTAGCCGACGATATTATGTGTCGCTTTGCGAAGCTCGACGCCTTTTAGCCGCGCTCCAGCTCCATTCGATTGTTGTGGGAGACTTGAGCGTCATCGACGGTCGTCGCTGCATCTTGCTTCTTGTCGCGCGTTGGCGGTGAGGTCGTCAAGGCCTCAATCGATGACACGTGCGATGCTGGAAAAAACGGGAGTCACATCGATTATGTTGTCCGAAGTTTCGCTGCCGCCGCGTGTCTAGTCGAGGTGCAGGTGGCGCTTGCAGTTCCTTGGAAGACGCATTGCGGGTTGCAGCTGACCTTGCGATCGTCGCCTCGCCAGCTTCTCGCACGCCGTCCCGAGCTTCCAGCGAAGCTACCTCGGGTGTCGAGGCCCACAAGGGAGCCCACGCCTGGATCCAAGTCGCAAAAGGCTAAAGCTGACCGACCGCGCTGCCGCCACCCAGCTTGCCGTTGAGAAGCGTCGATGCCGGTATCGCAAAATGTACGGTGCTTTGTGGAAGACTGCAGGGCCCGAGCTGGCAGCAGCTCGGCCAGCACCTCGGCCCCAGTCTCGGATCCATGTGTTGACGATTTGAGCCGGCTTGGTGAGGATTCCTCCGATCATCTTCTCGAAGTTTTCGAAGAGGAGGATCCTTGGGCCGATGAGTCTAACGTCTGCCCTAATGCTAGTTCTGGGCCAGCACCCCCATGTGTTCTGCTAAACGGTGGCGGAAGTCCTGGTGCTACCCTGGGACCTGCTAAAGGGTACACCTTAGGCGATGCTTAAGAAAACTTGAGTTTTCGGCCAGAGTCTCGATGATTCCTAACGTTTCAATGTAAATCCTAAGGTTTTGATCTGATTTTTGGGTATTTATTCAAGTTCTGAGATTCTGAATTTCTCAACCCATGATTTCTAAAGCATTTCGCAGGGTGTACGCACAGGTCGGACCACGCCGTCGTGGGAGGAGGTCGGCCGTCCGAGGCAGCTCCCGGCGAGGCCGTGGAGCCCAATGCTCTGTCCTCTGCCAGGCGTGGACGTGGCTGTGGGCGTCCGCGCTGCCAGCCGCCGCCGCCGCCGCCGCCGCCGCCGCCGGCGCCAGCGTGCCAGGGCCGGCCGGCGATCGGAGGGGGAGGTGGTTCGAACCCCCCTCTCCTCCTCCTCCTCCTCCTCCTCCTAATCCTCCTCCTCTTCCTCCTCCTCCTCCTCCTCCTCCTCCTCTCTCTATCTCTCTCTCTCTCTCTCTCTCTCTCCCCCCCGGTGGTGGTGGTGGTGGTGGTGGTGGTGGTGGTCGTCGTCGTGCATGTGAAGGCTTCGCGGTGCATGTGGAGGCTTGGCGGTCCACTGGACAAGGAGACGGTTGAGTGGGAGGAGCGAGAGGGGAAGGCGGAAAATGCCATGAGGAGGACAGGGGAAGGGGAGACGGTAGAGGATGACGATGCTGGTGATGATGATGCTGTTGCTGATGATGATGATGATGATGATGATGATGATGATGATCATCATCATCATCAGATGTTGGATGACGACCATCAGATGATGATGATGATGACGATGATGATGATGATGATGATGATGATGATGATGCTGATGCTGATGCTGATGATGATGATGATGATGATGGTGGTGGTGGTGGTGGTGGTGACGATGGTGGTGGTGGTGACGATGGTGATGAAGAATAATGAAGGCTAATACTAATAAGAAGGAGGAGGAGGACGACGACGATGATGATGCTGATGATGATGATGATGATGATGATGATGATGATGATGATGATGACGATGACGATGACGATGACGATGATGATGATGATGATGATGATGATGATGATGGTGGTGGTGGTGGTGGTGATGATGCTGATGCTGATGCTGATTCTGATGATGATGATGATGATGATGATGATGATGATGATGATGATGATGATGCTGATGATGATGATGATGATGATGATGATGCTGATGCTGATGCTGATGCTGAGGATGATGAGATGCGGAGGAGGAGGAGGAGAAGGCGGAGATGGGGCAGAGGTGGAGGAGGAACAAGTGAAGGAGAAAGGTCGAAGGTGGAAGGTGGACTGAGGAACGGTGACGAAGAAAGGAGGAAGGAATAACGGATGAGCAGGAGGCGCGAAGACGCCGTTTGGCCGTGGCCGTCGCCGTGGTCCCCTGTGATCCGACGCAGCGAAAAATATGCAACAGTTTGAAAAATCACCATCAGAGCCCCGGACCCGAGCCTTCTGCGCCACTGTTCGAGCCCAGTCGATCTGCGAGAGCACCCGTGCTTCCGAAACGGGGCGCTGACGCTTGATGTGACAAAATTGCGACGCCCGGATCTCAGTGCAGCGTGTCGCCCGGGCCGCTCCGCGACACGCTGACCCAAACTTCCCGACCGTTTCGGCCCTCGCGGTCTGGTGCGCCTCTGCGCGGGAGTGCCGAGTGCCCCGCCCGGAGCGCACCCACGGGAACGCCCGGATCTCAGCGTGGTCGCCGTGGCCGCCCTCTCCGCCGCCATCGCCGCCGCCGCCGCGGAGGCAGAGCGGAAGCCCGCGGCTGGCGGCGGCTTCACGCTGGAGGCCTTCTGCGCTGGCGGCTCGAGCGGCTCCGGCGCCAAGGCCAAGGCCAAGGCCTTCGCGCCCGCGCAGCGGGGCGGCGGTGGCGCCGGCGGGGCGCCGAAGACGCTGAGCGGGCTGTGGAAGACGGAGGTTCAGCCACGCGCAGAGGGGGGTCAGTTTGAGGGCGGAGGACTTCTCAGAAGCACCCCTGCTTCTTAGAAGGCGCGGGCCTTTATATACATATTTATGTATGTATGTACGTGTGTATGTGTGTATGTATGCATGCATGTATGCATGTATGCATGTATGTATGCATGCCAATATTTATATGTATGTGCGCATGCAGAAAACATATACATAGGTATGCATACTATAGAAGTGTATACATACATACATACATACATATATGTGTATATATATATATATATATATTGTGAGATGACCCGTATCGTCTTAGCTCTGTGCGAAGTGTACTCACGGGTGGCCGTTCTGAGGACAGAGGTCCGAGTGCTTGCAAGCGCCCCTCCACTTTGGGCGTTCCTCTCTCCCTCGGTCCTCCTCCGTCTCCGTCGGGGCTCCAAGGCTTGAGGCACGTGCGCGAGCGCCCGCGGCGGATGGCAGGGGCTCTCTGGGTGCGTGGGCTGCAGGCGGCGGCGCAGGTGACACAGGCTTACCTGCTCCGCTGCCCGCCGCCGCCGCCGTGCCCGCAGGCGAACTGCCCGACGGTCGCGCTGCCGCCGTGCCCGCAGCCTGTGGCGTGCCCCCCCTGTCCGGCGTGCCACGCCAGCCAGTGCCCGGCAGCTCCAGAGGCCGCGGGGGGCTGTGACGCCTGGAGCTCGGGCGGCCTTCTCCTCTTCGTCCTCGGCGTCCTGGCAGGCGCTGGCGTGACCGGCTGGTTCACCGCGATCCTCCTGTGCTGCGGGCGCCTCGGGAGGTCGGTCACCGTCCGTGGAGGCGATGGCGGGCCACGTGGAGAGACACCAGGTGGCCTGGCTGCGTTACCGAGTAGCCGGGCCCGCTCTGTGCCATCAGAGATTGTTCTTGAAGCAGCTCCGATCGTCCGGTGACAGCTGGGTAGTGCTGACGCCCGACGGCGACATGTACGTAGAGGATCTAGAGGTGAGCGACGACATCCGGGAGGTGCTCTACGAGAACATTCCTGGCGTGGAGCCCCCGCAGGTGCGGGGCTGCGGCTACAGGTTCGGCCAGATGCCCTCGGCCGACGGCCTCAGGAGGCTGGCGCAGCAGGCAGAGTCGTTGCGGTACCAGGAGGACGCTGTGCGGGGGTACCGGGCTCCGGCGGAGGGAGCCGGCAGCCAGGGCGGCTTTGAGCCGGTGGGAGGCACGGAGACCCCGCGGGGTGCGCCAGGCCTGCCGCTGCCGCTCCCGCCGCCTTCGGAGGCTCCGGGGCCCCCGGGGCGCTGGGTCATTGCCGTCGACACCGGCGAGGGCAAGGTGGGCGACTCCATCACCGTTGCTGACGCGTCGCGGGTGTCGGGAGACACACGCATTGGCGTGGCTCAGGTGTCGAACGGGGCCTGGGTGTTCGTGGAGCGGCTCCTTGACGGAGAGACCAAGGAGGAGTACCTCGGCCGGACTGCCGGGCGTCGTGGAGCTGGTGACGGCAACCTCGATGCGCGCGTGCTGCCGGTGACCTACAACTCTTCGAGCGTGCGCCAGCGCCTCTGGAGAGAGACGGTGGCGAAGATGTCTCAGGTCACGTTCTCGGACTGGCCGCTGCCGGGGCCACGCACCGTTGACTGGTGCGCACGCTTCGTGGACCGCCGGGGTGGCGGCCCGGTCGACCACCACCGCTGGTGGGTCGGCCACCTCCGCCTGCAGAGCACGGACTTCGGGGTGCAGGAGCACGAGCACGGCATGCGAGCGTTCCAGTTTTTTGGGGAGTACGACCAGGTCGACCTCCCAAACCTGGTGGGCTGGGAGGTCACGCTCCGCCGGTGCCAGCTCATCGAATACCATTACGAGAAGATCGAAGGGCAAGGCAGCCACCGGCAAGGAGCAGGGTGCTGGGCTGTCGCGCGAAGAGGCGGCCTACTTCACGGGCTCGCACAGGCTCGGGGGTGAGGTGATGATCTGCCCCGAGTTGATAGAGTGGGTTTCAAAGGAGATCGAGAAGGACGCCAGCGTGGCGAAGCAGATGCGAAAAGCGCGGGAGGAGGCACGCCTCTCGCGCAAGGATGGCTAAGCCAGCGCGAGGGCGGCAGGATGACCCCGACCTGTCCGCCCGCCTGCCGCAGGGGGAGCGCCAGCGACTTCAGCAAGCTGGCGCGGCTTTTGGTCAGCGCGATGCTTTACCTCTCCATGCTGAAGGGTTCCTGGGGCGTCCAGAGCCCAAGGAGTTCAACGTCAGCCGGAAGGTCAGGCGCCGCTTCGAGGCCCGCTCGCACGCCGACCAGTGGTGCGCGGACGTGGCACGCTCGTTGAATGAGATAGGAGGGCACCTGTGCAAGGATGCGGATGCCTGCCGCTCCAGCCGCTTCCGGCCGCGTGTGCACGACCTCGGCGTGGCCCACGTGAGGGCCAGTGTCGAGCGGTGGGGGCGGCCGCCCGCCGACCTCGCCTGCCAGGGGGCCTTTGATGAGCTCCGGGCCAACCACAGCTACGAGGGTGCGCCTGTGGCTGTGGCGCCGATGGACATAGGCTTGCTCAGCCTGAGCGGGGCCTGCGCTCCTGCCGACCTGGTCCAACTGCTGCGTGATGGCCGCTCTGAGGTCCGCGGTTTTGTAAAAGACTTTCTCTTGGCAAAGGATCAGGCAGATGTGCGTCTCAGCCTCGAGGGGGTGCCACGCCGTCCCTACTCTGACCCTCTGCTGCGCCGGCCTCGAGAGTGCGAGCGTCTCTTGGCAGTCATGTCGAGCAAAGGAATGATCGAGTACTCTCTCGACGTGGTCGAGACTTGCGGACTTTTTAGTGTTTGGAAAAAGAGCGGGAAGCAACGACTCATCATTGATGCCCGCCGATCGAATTGTTGGTTCAAGGACCCCCCAAAGACCCGTCTGGCCTCAGGGGGCTCTTTTGTTCGTCTCTTTGCTGCTGCCGATCTCACTCTCGAGCTCGGTCAGACTGACATACAGGATGCCTTCTATCAGCTTGCTATGCCGGTCGAGCTCCGCCCGTACTTTGGTCTGGCGCCCGTTCGAGCCAGCCATGTAGGGGTGTCTGCCACTGTCGAGGGATCCCAGCTCTCACCCAGCACGCTTGTCTACCCACGCCTCTGTGTCTTGGCGATGGGGTGGACCCACGCCCTGAATTGGCGCCAGCGTGTGCTTGAAGACATCAGCTCCCGGGTCCCAGGTCTTGGGATGGAGTCCAGGATCCAGGATCGCCGTCGCCCTCCCTCGCTCTCCCCTGTCGCTCACTCCGAATACGTTGACAACTTTGTTGCCCTCCCAGGTCCCGGGAAACGCCCGAGCTGCGGCCCACGGCGTGGCCGAAGAGCTGCGCCTCGCCGGGTTGCGCGCCCACCCCGTCGAAGCGGGACTGGGGGGGGAGGCTCTAGATTGGTTTTTCTCGAGCGAGCGGCCGGTAGTGCGTGCTAAGGAGCGACGTGTCTGGAGGATCCGTCTGGCCCTGCAGCATGCCCTTGGGCGCCCCGAGCTCTCTGGGAAGGATCTGGAGGTCCTCGTGGGGCACTGCGCGCGCGCCTTCCTCATGCGTCGTGAGTTGCTGTGCTGCTTCAACGCTGTGTACGCCTTCATCGCAAAGCATCGACACGAGCGGGTGCCTCTGTGGGAGGTGGTGCGTAAGGAGCTCCGATGGGCCTCACTTGGCGTGCTTCTGTTGGCGTGACCTATCGGCTTCCGTCTGCCCCGTGGTGGTGTCGAGCGACGCGTCGGAGTGGGGGCGCGGGGTCACCGTCTTGGAGGGGGACAAGGGCGACATCGTAGAGGCTATGAAGTACTCGGACAGGTGGCGCTTTCGCGACGGCTCCGGAGGGGCCCGCGCGCAGGCCGCTGAGCTGATCGAGGGGGCCCTGGCTGGCCACCGCGCCCCTGGAGAACGTGATGAAGCAGCTCAGCCGGGCGCCGTCGCGGACGGCGAGGCGGACCGGGGCCCCGAAGGAGGCGGTCGAGTCCCACTGGTCCCCGAGAGGCTCCTCAAAGGGAAGTGGTCTGTGGTGTGCTCTCGCCCTTGGAAGCGCCCCGAAGGCATGCCCGTCCTCGAGGCCCGGTCGACGCTCTGGGGGCTGCGACGCCAGCTTCGTAACACGCGGTGGTGGGGTCGAAGGCTCCTCTTCCTGTCCGACTCGATGTCCGCCACCCTGGCTCTGTCGAAGGGCCGGAGCTCGGCCCCAGGCATGCTGAGAGCGGTGCGGGCATGGGCGTCGTCGCTGCTGGTGTCGGGCTGCTTTGCAACCGTCCGCTGGATTCCTAGCGAGCTCAACTCGGCGGACGCTCCCTCGAGGCGCGGGCTCGCCCTCGGCTCCAGCGGGTGGCGATCGCGAGGAGCCGATCCTGGCCCGCGAGGCGCGGCCGCTGCCGGTCCAGGTGCCTCTCCCGCGCGCCCTCTCGGCCGACGGGGCTCTGCCGCGGCGCGTGGCGACGCCGCCGCGAGCGCGAGGGCCGGCGCGGAGTGGCCGGGCGGAGGGCCCGGCCGCCGCCTCTGCCTCTCCGCGCCGCGCGGGGATGCCCGCGATGGCGCCCGCGAGGCGGGCCCGCCGCAGCACGGCCAAGGCCGCGGCCGCGCGGGCGCCCGCCCGCAGGCGCTGGGCAGCAAGCAAGGCGCCGGCGGCCGTCAGCCGCATGAGCTTCTTGCTGCTGGAGAGCGTCAGGCCGAGGGCGCGAGTGCTGTGCCAGACGGGCTGCGACCTCTTCGCGGACTGGGCCCGGGAGCGGAAGTTACCGATCGTGACGGAGGACGAGCTCGAGACGGCCGTGCTGGACTGATCGGCTGCGAGTACTTCGAGGGGGTCCACTCGAGTTTAGGGGGCCGCCTGGTCTGTGCCGTGTGCTACCTGCGCCCGGAGCTCAGCCGCCAGCGCGGCGCGAGGCTGGCCCGCGTCCGGCCGGCCCTGCGGGGCTGGAGCCTGCGGTCGCCAAGCCAGTCGCGCCTGCCGACCCTGTGGGAGGTGGTTTGCCTGATCGCGGACCTCCTGGTGCGGGAGGACCAGTGGGGCAGGGCCGCGGCGATCGTG